TTTTTTTTTTTTTAGTTTTATGTGGTGCAGGGGATCGATCCCAGTGCCTCACGCATTCTAGGCAAGCGCTCTACCCCTGAGCCACAACCCCAGTCCCAGTGCTATTATTATTATTTCCACTTAACAGGGGGATAGGAATGAGGATTGTAAAAGAGGTCCAGGAGGTTTGAGAGGAAAAAGGATATGAAATTATAATTTGAGAAGAGTTTGAGAGTAAATGAACTAGGAAAAAAAAAGTCTGACTACCAGGCAATACTAAATATCCCTTGATGTTAACTAGTCATAAATTAGAGATATGACTAGATAAATTAAGAGTCATAAAAGATATATGTATGCTTTGAAGTTTATGCATGGGACCAAATGGATAGTAAAACCTCCTGCCTTAAAGACAGAATGGCTCTCAAGCCAGCAACACTTTACTATACACTCCCTGAATGTGAATATAAAGGTAGGCAATGTTACTATACATGGGTTGATTAGTCATGAAAATATAAAAAAAAAAAAAGGCACACAGAGGCAAACTTAGGCAGAACATTCAAACACGCTTCAAAAGAGAGAAAGCCAATGATAGTTTTGTGTATGGTTCCTCTGACAAATCCACCCTCAGTGTAGGGAATACAACTAGCTTCCTTTAAGTACTTAGGCCCATTGGGAAGACACTATTCTTTTTATGAGAAGGATTAATCAGTGTCTTTTAACTTGATGCCATGAATTACTTGATTCATTGATTCCTAATATTGGTCCAAATGCCTGTACACTGTTTATTATTATTATTAAAATTCATATGTTCTTGAAACAATTATTTCTCTAACTTAACTAAACTGACACTCAGTCTCCTGAGCTTGGTTGATATAAGTCTAGTCTAAGAGACAGAAATAGTCTCTAAATCGGTTACTCTCAAAATCAATTTTCTGAGACTGAATCATTCCAAAGTTGACAAGAGCAGGCTTCCTAAGAAAAGCCAGACAATGTGTTGCCTGGTAGAAATTATATCTCTACCTTTACTGAGGAATTATCCTAAAATATATATATATATATATATATGTGTGTGTGTGTGTATATGTGTGTATATACATATACATATACACACACATATATATACATATGTATATTGTGTATATACACATATATATACATATATACATAGGTATATAAGTATATATTAATTATATTAGTGTTATATTATTCATTATATTAATATATACATAGTAGCATGTAATTATTCTAATATATGTAGAGATGAACTATTCAATATAATTCAAATACATAAGACAACTACACAATAAGATAGTTAAAAATAAAAATAATAAGAAAACTAAAAAATTCATCAAATGCTGAAGTGATAGTACATAATTTTTTCTTCTATTAATGATTATCTTTAAATTTTCAAATTTCCTACCATTAGCATTCATTACTTTTATAATCACACATAAATTTCATTTAAAGTACTTTATAAAACTGGCATACTATGTGTATAGTTATTCATTTTATACCCTGTGTCAATTTTCCTGGAGGTTATTTTATTTGGCACTCAAAAGGACAAAAGATTATTGCAATAAGGTAAGAATAGAGATATTTATACTTTCATATTTCATAACTAGTCAAGAGAACCTGAATTAACAAATACATAGAGCCTTAATGTATGCATGTGTCAAAACTCCTTATGGAAATTAGTGAATTTCACTCAGTAAATCTTGCCCTAAAAAAAGAGCAAATATTTAAATCTAGTTAATGATATAAAGTACTTAATGTTGAAGAAGTATACTAATTCTGCAACTTACTTTCAAACATATAAATAATACAGCTTAATATATTAATGAATTGAATAAATATGTGAAAAAGTAAATACTGCAAAATGTTAATAAATGCAGAGTCTAGATAGTGGAAACATGGGTGTTCATCCTACAGCCTTTCAACTTCCCAGTGTGACCTAAGTTTTTTACAATAAAAAGTTGGAAGAAAAGAATGTGTTATGAACACATGCAAATTGATAATATCAAAGTAATATAGATCCTTTCAGTTATTTTACTGGTTCAAACTTTAGTTTAAACAAATGCCTCACTAAATTAAGCGACTAGTATCTGGATAGTCAAGGATTTGAAAAAATAAAATTACTTAATCATAATACTTACATTGTGACTGTGACAAAATCCAATTCCATTAATAATCTGAAACAAATATTTTTGAACTACTTGGTAGTCTAATCCTTTTGGAAAGAGTTCCAAGTCATCAAGAATTGTGTGGTCAACAAATTCAAAGACGAGGTACCATCTTTTTTTTTTCTTACACACTTCCAACAGATTCACCAAATTTTCATGTCTCAATTGCTATTATTAAAAAAAATGCAAAATAGTTTTTATAAGTTTAAATTATTAGCAATTAGCCACAATCTAAAACAGATCTCAGCATATGAATAGAATGCATAAAATACATAAACAATGCATATTATAAAAGTATATTCTAGTTTTAAAGTTACAGCTCCTTTCTTCTCTCAGAGAACACAATAAAACCAATAAAAAGAAGAAATGTAACTCCATCTTTTTGAAAGCAAGATGGATCTATGACCCCACCCCCATCTACAATGAATGAGGGTTGATTACCACAAGTACTCAAGGTCAAACAGGAGTATAAGGATACACCAAAGGATTATCTGCAACTACAAGGTTAACAAAGCCAGAGTTTTCCAAAGTTAGAACATACCTTCAGGAGAAAAGGACCAAAACTGAAAATATCCTTCTTTGGTATAATGTTGATAAGTTTTGTGGGTATCACTGAAAGCATCACTAAAACTGAATAGCACCAGTGAATACCACCAATGAATGGAAGGGGAAGGAGGGTTGAATAATTAATCACACAAAAATATATTTGCTGGAAATAAATGGTTAGACTAGAAAGCAAAACAATTCATTATGAATAAAACTAAAATTACAAATTTCAGAGAAATTAGGGCTAACAGCATTGAATTCCACACCAGGCCTATGTCTTAAGGAACATCATTGTAAACCATGACATATTCTACTAGCCTAGAACAAAATCATGTCCAAGAAACAAAGAAGAACCAATTCAAGATCTACTCAAAGATACTGTAAGAGAGAGAAACACTAATTACAGATTAAGTGGCTATTCTTAAAATTATTAGGATATAGCTTTCAAAATCCTCAAGGAAAGAAAGTGTAATCCAGGACCATAATGCCCAAACAATGTGTCACTTAAGTAACAAACAATGGAGAAAATTTTTGAACATGAGCAGTGAATGCATTTAGTGCAGGACAAAATATTATGCAAATTTGAGCATCATAGTTATAAAATAGAAAGTATTTTAAACTCAACAATATACAATATTACTAATAATAATAGTAAAGGGAAAAAAATAAAAACAAGATGTATGTGCATTGATTTTTCTTGTCAACTGGTCAAATGATAACTTTTGACCTGAAAATTTCAATTATAATTATAGCCACAGATTTAGTGATAAACACTAAGATAAATAAGGAATCTTCTAATATAAGTGGTAGATGTGTGGGAGAGACAAGGGAACAGAAACATAACAATTACTTTACAATGGAGTATGTGTATTATAGACTACTATAAGTATAAAGGTAATCAATTGTACAAAACTAAAACCCTTCCCAATTACCAAAGAAAACAGCTAAAGTAAATAAGGAATTCAGAGACCATATAGAAAAGTACTTGTAAGGAATAATAAAATAGTGTGACATTATAAATAATCACTAATACTTACATAGTGCTTACTATGTTCTAGGCACTATTCTGAGCCCAAAAACTCTATGAAATGGGTACAATTATCTTGTTTTATAGATGAAGAAGCTAAAGCAGAGAAAATTAAGGAAGCTCCAAGGTCACACAGCAATAACTGGTAGAGGCAGGATTGGAACCCAGGAATTGTGACTTCTGTCGTCTCTTGAAAACATTTCATTTTTGGTCATTTCCTCCTCTGTGTTCAGAACATTCGCACTATAAACTCACTCAGGCCCACAGTTGGTTTGTATGCCATAAATTTAGATTTCTTATTCTTAACCACTAAGCTATTACAATTCTATAGGGAGGAAATGGAAACAAAACCAAATATATCTGTTATATTAGAATATATTTTATTTTAATAGGTAAAATTAGTCTAACTGGGTCACAAAGCACATTCCAGATTACTGGTTAAATGAATTAAGGTATATCTATATGATGAAATAAAACACATCAATTAAAAAGAATGAGGCAGTTTTATGTCTACTGATGTGCAATATACTAAGCAGAAGAAGGTAAGATGCAGGTCAGGGGGCAAAGTCTGTTCCCATTTGATATATGCACATATACTGCCCCATACAAATCCATATGATTGTATGGGAACAGAATCCCTCTGATCACTGTAAAACATAGCACTGGTTTGTTATGGAAACTACAACTAAATGACTGGTACACATGGGTGGCAGGGTAATTCATTTAAATTTTATAGCATATGCAAGTATTATATAACAAAAATTTAAATCAGAAAAAATATGTATCAGTGAAAGTACATACACATATACTCTAGTAAACTTAAATTTTAAAAGATATATACTATAAAAATTAACTTGGAGACTAGAAAAAGAAGCTTGAAGTCTATTAAACTAGTTAGGAGGAACCACGTTGGTCAAGGTCACATCTACTTAGAAAGCTTGAACTACCTCCACCAATGTATTATTGCTATCAATTCTCAACACAATGACCATCCTGCATAATATCTAAACTGTGTTTCTAAAAATTGCTTCTCTGTGTTATGCCCTCTGGATTCAAAGTCCCTAGCAGAATATTCCACTGGTCAGCTTAGATCACAGGCTACAAGAAGATGGGAAAGGGGGAGATCTCTGCATTCAGGCTGTGTCATGGGAAGCAAGATACTGCACCTTACCACGACTACACACAATGAGAAACTGCATTCATAGGGTAGGAAATGGGAATGTTTTGCTTTTTCTATACAGATGAAAAAAGTGACAAGTGTTCATTCCATATTACAACTAAAAGTGAGGTAATTTTGTCATTCATTAGGGTTCTTACACTCTTGTATGCCTAAAACACTCTTCCCAGATCTTTACATATCTGACTCCTTGCTGCTATCTAGGTCCCAGCTTCATGTCACTTCCTCAGTCACTCTTGAGCACTTACTCCGTCTTATTATCATCATAGCACTATATACTATAATATTATCCCCATCTGATAGCTCACTATAGTAAAATCCTATCTGGTATTTTCCTTTATTATTATTATTTTGTAGCAGGGATTGAGCCCAGGGACACTTAATCCCCAGCACTTTTTATGTTTTATTTTGAGACAGGGTAATCAATGAAGATGCTTTTCAAAGAGTTAAAGAAGCATGTTTCAGCTAGGATAGATGAAGTTTCAATTTGATTATTATCACAAAACTATTTTCTATTATTGATGATATTAACTCATTCCCACTGAAAATAAGAAAAAGCTAAATAAGATTTAATTATAATCAATAAGCAATCATGGCATTTCATTTTCCATAGTGTTTTCTCATAAACAGAAAGATGGTCTCAAAATGCATATCTAAAGACAAATCTATTTAAAACTCTTAGCAGGCTGGGTATGGTGGCACACACCTGTGATCCCTGGGAGGCTGAGGCAGGAGGACTACAAGTTCAAGGCCAGCCTCAGCAACTTATTGAGGCCCTAAGCAACTAAACAAGACCCTGTCTCAAAGTTTTTTTAAAAGGGGCAGGAGGGGAGGGCTGGGGATGTAGATTAGTGGTAAAGAGCCCCTGGGTTCAATCCACAGTACAAAAAAAAAAAAATCTCCTAGCAGATTAGAGCTTTAAGTAAGGTTTTGGAATTGACTTATTTTTAGAGATAATAAGTAATGCATCTTATTTTTTCTCTAAGAAATATTAAAGTAGTTGTCTACTCCATGAGTTAAGAGTGTAAAATTTTAAACATCTTTATTAAAAAAGCTTACCATGAAATGTGAAACTATAGAGAAAGCTACTCATAATAAGACATACAGTTCATTAATAAAACAAAACACCTTTATTTCACAAATCTTATATTCAAATAGAACTAAAATTTCTAATAAATTCTGTTTAAAAAATTAAATGATAATAAAATAAAGCTGTTCAATCATGATTGCATTAGCATATTTCTAGTAGAATAATACATTATACTTAAATATTCTACTTTTTATCAAAAATTCAGACTACATAAGATAATCTCTCTTTCCCTATTAAATGTAAAGTCCTTCCTGCCAAGATTGCTATAGCAGCCCCAAACCTGCAATCATTATTAAAACACAAACTATAGTCCACAGGTTATCTTTATGTTAATATTTTAAAAATAAAATGACCAGCCGACGATGTGACTCTGTGATAGAGGTCTTGCCTAATATGTAGGGCTCTGGGTTAGATACCTAATGTCTCAAAAAAGTAAAATAAAATAATAAACAAATAAAAGTAGACCACGACCTCTTTTGGTAGTGGCAGACTAAGTAACTCAGACCAATACTCTAAATAAGAATTCTTAAAAATTTGGGTCAAATTTTTCTAATTTTCTGAAACATAAAAGGCTAAGAAGATAGTTAGGATTATTGGGCCAAAATCAGGAACAGAAAAGTGCAGAACTCAAAGCTGATTTTGCCAGGAAGTATCAGATATGGAACTGAATTTTTATTTTTGTGCCCTATACAATTAATAAGCAAAAGTTAAAGCCCAAAAGCTGTAAAGGCAGGACCCAAAAAAAACTACCTCCAATTTAAGCTGGTCTCCTAAAAGTTACACCCTCCAAAGTAAACATAGGTAGAAACCAATCAGGTATCACTAGACTTCACATCACCTATAATGGTTCAAGGAACCTCAAACCTTGAATTTGGGGTCTGGGGACGTGGCTCAGTGGTAGAACACTTGCCTAGTGCGTGGGAGGTGCTGGGTTTGATCCTCAGCACCACATAAAAATTAATAAATAAAATAAAGGTATTGTGTCCATGTACAACTAAAATAATTAAAACAACAACAACAACAAAAAAAAACCTTGAATTTGGATTATTTTGTAAGGGACTGGGAGGCCCCGCTGTGCACTTCACAGAAATCACTATCAGATAAATAAAAATAATCTCTGGAGGCAGATAATTTTACCTTAGCCTCAAAATATTTCTATAAATATCATTTAAAAAATGAGATTCAAAGCAAAAGATAATGAGAAGCACAAGAAAGCAAGAAACAATTAACGAGAACTTTGAACTTGTTGAGTAGATCCTGGACCGGTAATTGTTGGTATTATATAGAAACCAGAAGGGTGAAAAAATTTTTTTAATTCTTTTTTTAGT